TATATATATATATATATAATGTGTGTTTGTCACCATCATTTTTTTCTGATTGCTGAGAATAATGATTGCTTATAATAGAAATTGAGGAAGCATATGACACACACACATTGGAGAACTTGTTATCTTGACTTATGTTAGTAGTTTCTTGTTCTAGTTTGTATCTGTGAGTGTTCATGCATTGTTGTACTTATTATATGTACATCTTTTAATAGTTACCCCAGAGACACCACAAGAAGTGAGAACAAATCTTTGCAAAGTGAAGGGAATTCCCCTTATATACTGGACGTCAGAAAAACAAAAGCTTTTCACTTTTGCTGAAAACCCCAATATATGTTCTGTGCTCTTATTCACACAGAATATCGAAAGACACATTTTAAAAATCTATTTCTTACCTTGTAGATGTTTCTCTCCTTGGTGAAGGTCTTTGTGCAGATTCCAGGCTACACTGAGCACTTTGAAATGTAGAGGGACAGACTGAGCTTCCTCTCACTAACATGCAATGCTTCCAAGCCTTTATCCCTTTGTTAGGACACACATAGGGGAATTTATCAAAACACGAGCAGAAGAATCTGGAGCAGTTGCCCATGACAACCAATCCGCTTCTATTTTTCATTTTCAAATCTTAACTGAAGAGAGATGCTGATTGGTTGCCATGGGCAACTGCTTCAGATTTTTCTGCTCCTGTTTTGATAAATTCCCCCCAAAACTGTTTAAGTCTAGTTTACTGATGACGAGATCTGCCAGCATAGTACAGACAGAGCTAACTTCCCACAGCCCCTTCCTGAACATCATGCAATATAATGCACATCAAATGTAAGTGCCATTTTTTAAAAAGTTATTAAATGTGAATGAGCACAAAATAGTTTTCCCAATTTGGCTGCCAAAGCAGAAATACACTTTATAGCTGAACTCCAGGCAGCTGAATGCACATATGGGAGCAGTCTTACCTGCCAAAGGATGGGCAGAAAGTTATTTCTGCCCATCCAGTCCTAGAATCTACACAGCTCAACACTGTTTAGCAGGGGAGTTAGTCTGTTTAATCTCTGCTGCAGTTTAGTAACACAGATCTCCTTCCACTCTGTGGCTGGACAGGAAGAGGAGAAGCAGAAGACCGATGAGCTCACTCTGCTCTCTTCTCTCCTATCAGAATGCTCCTTGCACTACAGCACACCTGATTGGCTCCTTCTGCTACTTCTCCTTCTCGTCTGCAATTTTTCCTTGTTATTTAAACATATTTTACTACCAGCTTTCCGAGTTTGTAAAAGACGCCACCCAAACCATATCTTTTCTGAAAGCACCGGACTGACGGAATACAAAGATGGTGTCACTGATTTTTGTAGGTTCCCTGATGGTTGTGCAAATGTTCATCGAAACAAATATTTGTAATACAAATAGATTCAAATCATTATTAGCGCACAACCACCGCTAACATACCAAATTCCTAAGAGATATAAAACTTAAATGAGTTCATAAATTTGTAAACTTTAAATTATGTGTTTTTTTTTCTTTTTGCCAATCTGTGAAAATCGCAAAACTTTACATTATGGTTGTGCAATTTGTGTATCTGGGGGAAGAGGTGTACTTCATTTGTTTATTACAATGCTATAAATGATCCTAATTTACGTTCTGTCACTATGGGGATGACAAGCCGCTTGGTGACAGTATATACTCCATCTGTGACAGGTCCTCTTTGGAGACATACCAGGGGACTATAGAGACTCCTGATGTTTCCCCTTTATGATAGAGAAGATCTGGGACTCAGTCCCCAATGTCCTCTTCTTGTGCTGCTCAGCCCATAGTAACACTGAACATGAAAGTGCTCACTACTGAGCTCTTCAGTGTTCATTTACAGACTGAAGGAGATCAGTTTTACTGACTTCCCAGCTCGCTGGCCGGAATAGAAAAGCTGGCGATGACACTGCCATGAAGCAAGACGCGGGTCTCATCGGCGGTGAGGGCCGCGGGGGAGTTCAGCACTGCCAGAAGGGCACACAAGGGAAATCAAATTGCAAGGAACAATAGCAGAGTCAGCAAAAGTACCAGGCCGCAAGTTGTTACTGTGGCCCACAGCCAGCTCACAAGTCAGGGACCATGTACCCGTATACAGACCGAAAAGTGCTCCTCTGTGCCGACACTCGGAACCTTTCGGCCAGCGCTCTGGAATCCTTCAGTGAACGCAGGCCGAAAGGATTGATTAGTAAGGTCTGCAGCAGTATTGGAAGTGAATTGAGTTCGAGACCCCTGTGCTACAGGTTCGTGACCATACAACATAAGGAAACGCAGCAGACGTAAGGGTTACATTTGTTCTGATGCAACTCTTATGTTCATGGCAGTTAAAGGGCTTAGGGCCCATTCACACCGGATCTGTTGCAATGCGATCCGTTATTCAATGGTTGCTAATGGAAGGGCACCGCAAAATGAATGGATATGGATGGGGCTAGTTCACACTGCTCCGTTAAATTGTGGTGCTTTTTTCAACCAAACACAATCCGGTGTGAACTTGCCCCATTCATTTTTTGTTGCCCTTCCGTTAGCATCCGTTGAAAAACGCTTTGCAACGCAATGGATCAAGAGGAAATTGAAAGATACATTTGCAAGTCAACGGACCTTCCGTTGACTTGCGATTTCCTTCCCATTTTGGTGTGAATGCACCCTAAAAGTGTTTGTCCAGCCAATTTTTTTTTTTTTTTACGTTTTGGATAAAGTGAGGATGGGTTAAAACTCCTTTCAGGTTGTTATTGCTATCTGGAGCTCCGGAGAGTTTTAGCATACAGGAAGTGAGGGAAAGTCTCCAAATGCAATACACATTTTCTTGGTACAGTATGAGAAGGCAGAAACCCCTTTCAGAATGTTTTTTTTCTCTGTGTGTGTCCCTGTTGCAGATTTTCCCCCCACTTCCTGTCTGGTGAAACCATTATGAGCAGCACAGGAAATTAAATGACCATCTTTAATATCACGGCCCCCTATTAGCGGTAAAAACCTGACAGGAGTTCTGATCCTTCCCCACGCTATCCAAAGCTAGACAAAACACGTTTTTGGCTTGATGTACACTTCCAGGAAATTCATTTTTTTAAATCTTTTTTACAGTTTTGTTTTAGTTGGAAAGTCGCAGATAGTTGATACAGATCCTGCAGTTTCCTAATGATAGCTTGTAATTAGGGATGCACCAATACCGGTATTTCAGTATTGAGTGCGAGTACCGATTTTTTTTTTTCCCCCCGGTACTCGCCGATACTGGAAGTCCCATTCAGGAAGCCAGGCGGCGTGCAATGACTTGCCAATCAGCAAGCCGGGTGCGGTGTAATGACGCGGCGCCCGGCTTCCTGATCGGCCGGAAAGCCGGCTCCATTCTCCCTTGTCATGAGGTGAAAGCTGGGCGCCATGTCATTACATGGTGCCTGGCTTCCTGATTGGCCAGCTTCCGACCAATCAGGAAGCCGGGCAGCACGTCATTACACGTTGCCCGGCTTCCTGATTGGCCGGGAAGTCGTCTCCATGCTCTCTCGTCACCAGTGTAAAGACTCGCTGCCCGGCTTCCTGATACCGGAAGTATAAGGCTAAGCATCACAGCATTTGGACGAGTACCCGCCCAAATACTCTGCATCAGTACCGATACTAGCAGTGGTGCATCCCTACTCATAATATCTTTGATATGTAGAGTATAGCATGCAAACCAATCCCCTAGTTGAGTTCTTCTACATTTAGTTCTTTGTTACCCTGGTAATGAACATTGTTTTCTTTTGTGTGTTTGACAGGTTGGGATCCAAGATAACAACTGCAACACTGGGAGTAGGTGATTTTTCCCCCCGGTACTCGCCGATACTGGAAGTCCCATTCAGGAAGCCAGGCGGCGTGTAATGACTTGCCACCGGCTTCCTGATTAGCAGGGAAGCCGTCCTCATGCTTCTCGTCACTAGGTCATGAGAAAGCATGGAGCCGGCTTTCTGGCCAATCAGCAAGCCGGGTGCGGTGTAATGACGCGGCGCCCGGCTTCCTGATCGGCCGGAAAGCCGGCTCCATTCTCCCTTGTCATGAGGTGAAAGCTGGGCGCCATGTCATTACATGGTGCCTGGCTTCCTGATTGGCCAGCTTCCGACCAATCAGGAAGCCGGGCAGCACGTCATTACACGTTGCCCGGCTTCCTGATTGGCCGGGAAGTCGTCTCCATGCTCTCTCGTCACCAGTGTAAAGACTCGCTGCCCGGCTTCCTGATACCGGAAGTATAAGGCTAAGCATCACAGCATTTGGACGAGTACCCGCCCAAATACTCTGCATCAGTACCGATACTAGCAGTGGTGCATCCCTACTCATAATATCTTTGATATGTAGAGTATAGCATGCAAACCAATCCCCTAGTTGAGTTCTTCTACATTTAGTTCTTTGTTACCCTGGTAATGAACATTGTTTTCTTTTGTGTGTTTGACAGGTTGGGATCCAAGATAACAACTGCAACACTGGGAGTAGGTGAGCGCAGCACATTCATATGTTGTTTTGTGGCATACAAGTGTCTTTTTATTCATTGTTCAGCTTTATAAGAAAATAAATATGTTCACCTCTGTGTTACTGATTAGTTATTAGTGTGCTTTCTGTATTTTACAATCATAAGCTTTTCCTGTGTGCATGTAAAAGGTTTTACAACAGTTCAGTGATGATGGGTATGCTTTTATTTTTTTAAGGCATGCAAGATTAAATAACGGGTTCGCTAAATAGCCCCCCCACCCTTCCCTGCGTCTTATACTTAAAGAGGACCTTTACCCCCCTTTCACTATAAATCACACCACCATGCAGCTCTGCACGCTGATATTAAATAATTTTACATTCATTAGATAAACAAACATATTTTTCTTTTACTTACATTTATTGTTTTTCTACTTCCTGGTTCTCTTGGGCATTAATGATGTAATCTGTGGCCAAGCGTTGCATCCTGCAGATCAGCCAAGCATTGTTGGGAAATCTCATCTGTAATCTCACGAGATCTCAGGGAAAGGCATTTTCCTCCCCTGGGATGATGTGCATGGTCACATGTGCCATCATCCCTCCCCTGGGATGATGTGCATGGTCACATGTGCCAGAGTTACAGGAAGTAAAGGGAGAGCTAGTAACCTGCCCTTCGTTAACATGGCCACTGTCAGAAGAATGGGGAAGTAAAAGAAAAACAAGGTATGCAAAGAATAAATAGCCGGCAATTATCTAGAAGTATGTGGTTGTAGATTGTCATTACTAAACATTTCTAAAGATGTATTGGTGTCATTTCAATGATCTGGGTAAAGTTCCTCTTTAACCGCTGACCGCTTACCTATTATGTTTTTGAGGAATAAAAACGGGTGTTTTATATCATTTTTGATTTCTTTGAATGAAATCTTTACAGCTAAACAAGTATTACAAGGTGCATCTATGACACTCACTTTGCAGAGTGTGCTGTTACAAAAGCCAGCGTTGCCTCCATAATTGGCAGCACCCTCTGTGTCAGGCAGCTCTTCCTGACCTAAAGCATCCCTTTCCATACAATGAGGGGAGATGATCAAAACTGGAGCAGACAGAATCTGGAGCAGCTGCTCTTTTTAGTTAATCTTTGAAAATGAAAAATAGAAGCTGATTGGTTGCCATGCTCAACTTCTCCAGAATTTATACATTACCATCAATGTGTTTTTAAATAGGTACTCGTTGGTTCATTCCTCTTCCTCTGTGTTTTCAGGGTCAACTAAGGAACCCTGAAAACATGATGAGCAAGAAAGTAGATGGCTGCTCAACCCCTCGATCTGTCTTGCCTTGATGTTAAATATTGAACCTGCCCTTCATATTTAAATCCCAACTCTAGCTTTTGAATTCTGGCAAAGAGCCTCACTGAACAGGAGGGAACAGTGTTGTGTTTTTTTTTTTTAAACTGAAGTTGAAATCGCAATGCTAGGGCCAGGCCTCTGCCTCCTCGCCCTTCAATGTCGGCCGATAGTCATGTAAGGGACCCGGGGCGGTCCCCCCAGGCTGCCCGGGCCCCTTACATGAGTATTGGCCGTACCCCCCTGATGGCTGCCTGCCATTAACATTCAACACCAGGACCCCTGTCTAAGGAAATCAAGTGGGTCCCGCAACACATTGACAGCTTTATTCAGAACAGATGCACAGGACTCTCTTTGTGATCCTCTGTCTTGCTAGTAATGAGTAAGCGGCATTTTGCAACACACCGCTAGAGTTGGATCCCACTTTACCACCGATCCAATCGCTGCTAGTCGGATGACCAGCAAAACGTCTTCAAGAAAAAAACAGGAAGTCCAGTTGCCTTGGTTTTATTTTTTACAGATGCCCATTTTTTGATACACCTAAATACCTCATGTGAATGGCGATTGAGGTTTTTTTTTTGTAATACAATGGATTCTTTCATTGCTGTGTTTAGCAGCGGTGTGCTGTTGGCATCAGGTAATGGAGGAATGAGCAGACCCAAAATATAGGAGATACAGCACTTCAAATTTGCTGCTTCCCTCTTACAAGTAACCTAAGTAGAGACTGATAACTGGGTCTTGTTAGCATCTTCAACGGTACCTAACCAGAGAAAAAAAATGAAGATTATGAGCACACACACTTACACACTTGCAAATAACAAAAGTATATCTGTTTTTACATTTATACAAGTAAAAAAAAAATACTTTGACCTAAAACTTGAACAATTTCACTTTCATCCTGGGTTTTCACCTTTTTGCTGCCTTCTCAAATCTTACCACTAGATGTCACTATAATACCAACGTTACCTATGGATGCTGCTTTACAATGAAAGCATTTTGCTGCCTTGTGTGTCAGATGGTGTTTTCCTGTCAGGATGTTTGTAGCGTTATCATTTTTACAACGTTGCCCCAATGTAGCCAAACCGCTTGGTGTTAACATGCAAACCTTTTAGTCTTGTCTTTGTGTAGTCCTTAGGATGTCCTGCCGCACTCCTGACCAATGAACCCCTGAAGATTGGTGCTGTAATGCCAGTGGATGGCACTGCAGGCTTCAAACATAACACACAATGTCACCAGCATAACAAACGCTGTGGTCAAGTGTTTGTCCTTTATTGACCTATATTATCACACTGAAGCAAAATGGGGCCGCGTCTGATAAAGGGCACCCTGCGCAGCCCCGATGCTTCATTTGACCACATCGTTTGGTGTGCTGGTGACATTCTGTGCTATGTTTGTCTTTGTATAGGACCTGTGGTCTGTGCCAATTATAGAGGATGTTGTGAGAATGCTTTGACTAGGGCTGCAACTAATGATCATTTTAATAATTGACTAGTTGGCCGATTAATTTTTTTAAATCGGATTCATTGAAAAAAATAATTAAATACCATCCTTAATTTTAAATAAAATACATCAATTCAGTGTTACAAACAAAACTGCATGCAGATTTTTTTGCAATCACACTGCACTGGAATACACCGCATTGTGGTACCGTGCGTTCCAGTGCCGGGCGATCACACTGTGGGTGGAAGGCGCGTTTGGGGTGCCATTGAAATGAATGGCACTGCAACGCACCTTCCGCAGCAGAATTTGTCAGGCCGAAACCGAAAATTACTTTTTTCCCCCTTTTATAATTTTTTGTTGTTATAATAACTGTATTGTAAGCACATGGTGCTTGAATAGCTTCAGCCAGGGAATGTCAGCTGCCAGTGGCAACATTCTGCAGTCCACAACTGAATGTAAATACAGCAGGTAGTGGGCTGGTGCAGTAGCCAGCCTGCTATTGGCCATTTCAAATTGCAGTAGCCAATAGCAGGCTGGCTATTGCACCTGCCCACTGCTTGCTGTGCCCTATTCCCAGCGTAGAGGAGAGAGCTAGAGGATCCAACCAACTATTCCATAATGAGAATAGTTGACAACTATTCTCATCGATTATTATCGATTAGTTGGCAGCAGCCCTAGTTTTGACAGTGATGCTGAATTGTTGACTCTGCTGCAGCATCAGTTTTGCTGACTGTGCGCCAGCAGTGGAGTCGGGATAAAACACACCCATGAGCTACCATGACTTCTGGTCTGTTTTATAACACGTCCTGTCACCAGGGGCTGAGTCTACTTATGTTTCCCTGCATGTAAGATGCACCTCATTTAGATGGAGGACACTGGAGTGTTGGTTGCATTGTGTGTAATGGTGAATGTTCTCCAATCCCCACTTAAGCAGGATATCGTCCTAAACATTCCCTGCTTCGAGTTCAACATTTTTTATGACTTATTCGATTCCATTAAAGAATTTGCCTGAGGCAGTTTGTTGCCAATAACCAATCAGATTGTTTTCTGTTCACAGTAATGGAGAGAATGTGGTTGCTATGGAATAGCTAAGACTGCTGTTCTTCTCTCATACACGTTCACAAATGGTGACTACAGAAACAGAAACACAGGCAGATGCATTTCCATTGACCATGTTTACAGTGTAAAGGATTCATCCACCCAAAAGTGATATTTAAGTTCTAGGTTGAGCCTGGTGGGCAGAGCCACCTACTGACTTGTTATAGGATAAGTATAGGGGGAGTAAAATATACTCTTGCCAATACTTAGAGCCCACATGGGACAATGCAGCTGTCACACACTGGCTCTATATACCAAGAGCTGAGGGCCCATGAACTGTTGATCGCTCAGCTCACAGCTTCTCCCTGCATAGAGCAATGGCTGTCCCGCAGGGATTCCACCCTCTCCCCGCTCTGTTCCTCCACTGCTCATTGGAGGGGCAGAAGGGAGGGGGCGGGCACAGCTGGCTCTGGCTCTAGAGAGTCAGCTGTCATTCAGACAGCCGGGTGGGTCCCAACAATATGTTTGGAATCCTTCC